CACGCGTGCGCTCGTGCGGGGGCTAGCAAGTATGACCTGAGCCTCGACCGCAAGGGCTGCTGCCGCCGTGGCCGCTGCTCACAAACGCCTGCGCACCCGCAGCCGCTCGGCAGCTCCTATATCTTGACCAGCAGCACCCCTGAAGCGGCCCGGTTCAACCCTTCACTGCCACCCCATCCTTGACTGCATCCCTGAGCCCGGCCCGCTTCAACGCAACACGACCGCAGGTACCGCGGCGCGCAGCAGTCCGTTGACCAGGCCGTTGACCAGATCATGAAGGAGGCGGGCGGCCTCTCCGCCCCGCCCCCCAGCTCGTGCCCCGCGGGCTGCGCCGCGCTCAGCGCCGCCGTCGCCGCCGCGACCGGCCTGCCGAGCTGCGTGTGCCTCGCCTCGGCCGCCGGCCGCCTGCGCGGCACGGCGCAGCAGATGCGCGCAGCGCTGATCCCCGCGGTGGCGGGCGCGGCGCTCTCGCTCGTCGGCGCGACGTGGCTGCTTGCGCGCTGCGCGGCGGCGCTGGCGGTCGCGCGGCGGGAGCTGCGCGCGCGGAGGGCGCGCAAGGCGGCGGGGCTGCCTGTCGCAGAGGACGGCTATGGCAGCGATGGAAGGGTGAGGCGCTAATTGCTCAGCTTTTGGTGATTGGTGGCTGGGGCGAGGGCGGTGATGGACTGGCTGGGCTTTGGCTGGCCCTGGGACGATATCCTGGTCCTTCCCTTGAACCTGGATCTCGTTTTTTGATGGAATGCTTTGAAAGCCAGCTCAGCGCTGCGCTCCGCGGGCCTTCGACGATTCCCCCTGCAGGCCGGGGGTGCGGACGTCTTTGCACGCGGGGCGCGTTGGGCCCCAGAGGCAGAGGGGCATCCGGCGGACGGCGGCGCGCAGACGCCCCACCACCCACACAGCCGCGACCCGCGGCGGGTTGGCGGCGGCGGTGGCGCCGCTGCGGCGGGTGCGCCGCTGCCGCGGCCGTGGTGGGCAGGCGGGGAGGTCGGGCGCGACGCGGCGATCGAGGCCGCGCTGCCGGCGCCGATGGCGCCTGGTCGCCACCCGTAGCCGCTGGGCGGGCCACTGCCAGCACGGTCTGACTTGAGCCGCATTGGTGCGTTCAAGACCCCGAAAGAAAGCCCAAGAATACCCCGTTGGTTTTTGTTCTCATATTCGTTGCTGGGTCGTCACCTCAAGCACATCAGCGTTTGCTGTTGTTTGACAGCATTGTTTCTGACAGATTCATCCCTTCAAGGCCGCAGCTTCCGGGCGAGCGGGCCACAGAGGTGTTGGGCAATTCCTGGCCCTGTTGGGTTTGAGCGGCGAGGCAGGAAACTCCAGCTGAATTAGTGCATCCTGCATCCCGGCTCATTGGTAGCCGCATCATGGCCGCCGCTGCGCGCTTGCCACGCACACTTTGTGCGTTGCGTTCCAAACTGGCGTTTGCCTCGGGTTTTGGCGTTTGAGAGCGACAGCCTCTTGCAAGGAAAGGCATTGCAAGCGTATGCCTGCAACAAACAATCGCAAAGCAACTGCATTGTATATAAGAAAGCACCATTTACGAGTGCTCAAACGGCACAATTGTGGACAGGATCCAGGTGTTGACCCAGGAGTTGACTCTCGCCGTCGTTTGCCTGCGCCCTTGCGCAGCACATCGCGCGGCTGCTGCACACAGCATGTGTCGCCGCTGCTTCTCCCTTCATTCGTTGACACGTGTAAATGAAGAATAAGGCTGGATCAGGCGGCCCCACTGGCAGTGCGCGGGGGTGAGCAGGGGGCCTTGCCACACGTCAGCATAGCGGGTGCCAGCTCAGCGTCGCAAGCCGTGACCACCCTCACAACCAGCTGCACTGAGCATGGTCTCCGGCACCGACCGCAGCACTTTGCCCAGAGGGCCAACGCCTTGCGCCGCCAGCACATCAGCTTTGCATATGTCCTCTTAATGCAGCGCCCACGGCTGGGCACTGCTGCAACGCTGACATTGTTTCCTTTTTCTTTAACCATTCATTGAATGGCAGCTTCTTCAAACTCAGCGCGGTAGGCAAGCAGGGGCATGGCGATGCCTGTACACCGGCCTGGGTTTACCCCCTCTCTGTTGCACACATGCTGCGATACATTACATTACATTACCGTACGCGGGACAAAACTTCTGCACGTGCTGCGCCTGGGGCAATCCTGACTGCATGTGCGCGCGGCGCAGCAGCCGCTTCTGGCCACGCGCAGGCATCTCTCAGGATGCCGCTCCTGGGCCATGCACGAAAGCTGCATGTACATTCCTACACACCGCACTTCAACACAATCTGGGGATTCTGGTTGCCCTGTCAGCATGACAGACCAGCATAAGTCGACGACCCTTACGATACAGTGCCAGTGTAGTGCAACATCGGCTGCTGCAGTGCACGGGGGACGTCAAGGCACAATGAGGGCGGTGCCCTTTCATGTGCATGCTGGGCAGCGGCAAGGCGGCCGACTGCCGGCACCCTTCCTCCTGCAAGGCAGCGGCAGTGCGCGCTCGGGAACAAAAGCGAGCGCTAACTGTGCTGGGCGTAGCTGCAAGGGTTTGCTACGGAAGCGTAGTAGAAGGAAGCAAGCATAAAAGGGTCTCACGAAGGGTGCAATACGGCACTCTCTCGCAGTGCCAGGTGCCAACGAATGGCAGATAATGCTGGCGGGGGCAAGGCGCGCAGGGTTCCCGGAAAAAACCACTAACGGCGTGCCACAGGCTTTGCCACGCTTTTGCCCGGCTGACACCACGGCAGTTGCCGGGCAGCGGCGCGCCATTGCCGCAATACACCAAAGGCTTGGCGGCGCCATCTAACGCACGCGCCGCTGCCGCCGCTGCCGCCGCCGCGCCCCAGGCGCGCGGTGCTGCTGAGTCATCGTCGCGGCCCTGGCGCCGCGGGCGCGAGCGGGTGGACAGCTGGTGGTGACAAAGGCGCGCGGGCCAGCACTGAACGCATGCAGCGCGCCGCAGCCTCCTGTGTGCCCTCTCATGGTCCCGCCAACGGCCAGGTCGGCCGGCATGCAGGTGGCCACTTCACACGCATAGGTCGCGCCGCATGACATTCAATACAAACAGTGCCATGCTGGAGTGCGCCGCTATACTACAGGGCGCCTGCTCAGGCTTGTGTTGTCTGCCGCCACGGGCGCCTTTTCGGCCCCCTTGACCGCCTTGCACGCCTGCTTGTGGCTGCCCTCGACCCAGTCCTTCCTGGCGCAGGCCTCGCTGCAGTACCTGCAGGCCAAGATTAGGATGAAGATCAGGGTTAGGTTGATGATTGGTGCACATAATATGAAGGTTGGGCGCGCGAGACAGGTCCTTGGTCGGGGAGGTAGCAGGCAGTTGCGAGTCCATGCCTGCAGCTGGACCTACACACCAGTGATTAGATACTTGAGCAAGTTGAGAGAACGCGTGCGCGCGCAGTCGCATGTGCGCGTGTGAAATCGCCTGCGCGCATATGCAGCCACATGCGCGCATGCACGCGCGCACAGACACAGACACACACACACACACACACACACACACACACACGCGCGAACACATGCGCACGCAGACGCACGCAGATGCGCACGCGCACGCACGCACACACACACACACACACACGCACACACACGCACACAATCACACACACACACACACACACAATCATGCATGCATGAGCACATCCACGAATTCACACCTGACAGCCCTACACCCGCGGCAAAGCCGCAGCCTCACGCCCTCCTCTGCCTGCGTCCTGCGGCACGCGGCGCATTCCGCAGCCAGCAGCGCCTCGCCCCGCGCCTCCCCAGCCGCCGGCTCCGCCGCCGGCTCCGCAGCCGCCTCCGCAGCCGCCTCCGTAGCCGGCGCCTGCGCAGCGGCCGCGGCGCGCAGCCGCAGCAGCACGCGCGGCGCCGCAGCGGTATCATCCATGCGCGGCCACGCCGCAGGATTCGCCGCCACCGCCGCCAGCGCCGCCTCCAGGCCCTCGACGCCAACTAACGACGCTGCAGCGGCCGCGCCGGCCGCAGTCAGGCGGTAGAGGCACACGACCAAGTCGCCTACTGTCGACGTGACTGTCTCATCAAATTCCGACGGCGACAACTCCTCGTGCGCCTGGAGACACACCCCGCATGAGGCACTCGGCGACGACGTCAACACGCGCGCCAGCGCCGTCGCGGCCGCTGTCAGCAGGCCCGGCGCGGCGGCGACGGCGGCGAGCCGCTCCGGGCCGGACGCGTCCGCGGCCTCTGCCAAGGCGGCGGCGACCTCGGCTGCACCGTGGCACATGCCGCTGTCGGGGTTGTAGATATGGTGAGCGAGCGCTGGCAAAACGCCGCCCGGGAGGGCGATATCCAGGAACGCCGCCGCAGCCGCCTCGTCCCCTCGAATGAGCTCAGCCACCGCCCGCACCACGCACGCCGCGTTGCTTGGGGCGCGGTCGCCGGCGCCAGCGGCGGCCGTGCGCCGCAGCGCGGCGGCGAGGGTGGCAAAGACGGCGGGGCGCAGGTTCATGAGCTCGGCGCGACCTGGCTCGACGCGGCTGAGGAACGCTATGCAACTCGCCGACTCCAAGCTGTCCGGACGACTCATCAGCCGCAGCAGCGCGGGCACCGCGCGCGCATCACGCGCCGCGCGCGCCGCGGCGGGCCGCGTGCCAGCGGGGCGCAAGAGGATGCCCAGCAGGCTGACGGCCGACCCTACATATTCCGTCAACTCAAGCCGCACGACGCCCCGCGCCGCCGCGTCTGCGATGGCCGGCGTCGCCGCCGCCACGTTCGCGAGCGCAAGCTCGGACTCTCCGATCTCTGCGGGCCCTGTCCGGCCGGCCTCGGCGCGGCCCAGCTCCTGCAGCAAAGCCGCCAGGAACCCCAAAGCCGCGCCTGCCTTGGCGTGCTCGGCGCCGCCCGCCACCCGCACCGCCACGAGAAGCAGCCCGGGCTCGCACGCGGCGCGCGCGGCGACGCGCGGGCCGCCGGTGCTGAGCAGCTGGTGGAGCGGGAGGAGGCTGTCGCACGTGCCAGGGCGCGCGGGAGTGCCGCAGAGCTCGTCGAGCAAGCGTGGCACCTGGAGCGCGGCGGCGCACGCCTCTTCGCAGGTCATCAGCCTGTTTAAAGCAATCAAGACGGGTTCGACTATGGATACACTATCTGGCCAGCTGCGCAGGCAATCGGCCAGGGCTTGTAGCATGCCAGGGGTTTGGCCGATCTGCGGCGAGTGTGCAGGTGAAGGTGCAGGTGCGGGGTGCGGTGGGCGGGTGGTTGGGGCGGTTGCCATGCCAGGTGGTGGGCGCGGGGAAGGGCCACAGCGTGCCGTTGTCCCGTTGCGTAGTACTTCCACTAAGCCAAACCAAAGGGAGGGCGCTGCGAGTCCCTCCCACCTGCTGCCGCCGGTGGCCAGCCTGGTTTGCGCAGGCCTGATGATCCTTGAACCCCTCCAGCAGCCCCCTCACGGCCATCGCCGCGGCGAAGCACCGACGCAGCCGCGCGCGCCTGTCGCCGCCCCGCCTGCAGCCCTCGGCGAGCGCGCGCTGCAGCGCCGAGAGCAGCTGCGGCGGCAGCGGCGTGTCCGGGGCGGCGCGCGAGGCCGCTTGCAGCTCGTCTATGGCTGCTTTGAGGGCGTCGAGGGTGGCATTAGTCTGCGTGGCGGGAGCGCCCGCGCGGCGCACTGCTCTGTCAGCTGGCAGCTCGCCGCAGTCCAGATCGAGCACGCGCCGCAGAGCGATCTCGAGGCGAGCCTGGGCGGCGGTGGCCATGCTGGCCTAGTTGAGTGGGTACACGGTGTCGCTCCTGCACGCGTGGGGTTCACGCAGGATAAGGTCACGGGCGGGTTGGGGCCAGGTGCACACGCAGACCGTGCGAACCACAATGCGCCACCCACGCCGCATGCCTGATGAGCGTTCTGAGAGGGGTGGTGGTTGAGCTCGTGGCGCACTCACGTGAACCTCAGGTGGTCAGCTTTTAATTGCCACCGAAGAGCATTGTAAGAATCCCTTCGCGTTCCAGATCAGGCAGACTTTTCTGCTCGCGCCCACCGATAAACTACTTCGATCAGGTACGGATATCATACGGAATGTCTGTTGAGGGAACGTACACAATTTGGAGATCACAGGTGTTCCATGTGTAGGAAACTACGGTAACATCATGCATCCCTGCAGGCCCTCCCATGGTTGACAACCGGCATTTTCCTGCGGCTGCTGCCGCAATCCTGCCGTAACGTACAGCTTTCCTTGGTGCCATCCAATGACCAACACGTCTTGCTCGAGCGACGAAAAGCTGTATTGATCAGCCACGACGCATGCGGCAGGAGTGACGAGCAAGTGGCCTGGCTGCACCCTTTGGCTGGCTAGTACCGTAGGCAGGTGCCCCAGTCGCCACTCCCTGTGTGACAAGCAGGCTTTCCTGCGGGCTCAGCGATGTTTTTTTGCGGTGCCTGGTGCGATCTCTGCAGGTCAGCAGGTGGTTTCATGACAGCGCGGGCCACGGGTGGGGCAGCGTGAGGGTCATTCGCATGTGGAGCGCTGCGTGCTCGCAGCACGCATGGTTGCATGCGCAGCTGAGCACGCTGCTGACAGGAGGCCAGATGTCACTGCTCCTTGCTCGCCGGCACTCAGCCAAACCATTGGCTTTGCAGCACGCATGTGCTCCAGGCAACATGTTGTTGCTGCAAACTGACCGTGCAGTTGATCCAGCATGCCGGGCTACGAGTCTCGCAACAGCAATGTGACATAGCCGCTCACACCACCTGGGGCCGCAGCATGCGGGCCACTGGCGGCGGCGCAGCCATTGGCGGCGGTCATGATCAAGCGGATTGCATTGCCCGCATGACAGACCAGCAAAGGTTGAAGACCCTCACGACGCGCTGCCAGAGGCGTGGCCGCGCCATGCAATGCATGCGCTGCCGCCGCCGCCGCCGCTGCCGCTGCCGCCCCCGCGCCCCAGGTGCCTGGTGCTGTCGAGCCTCGTCATGGACCCGCCGCTGTGGCCGCGACATCGCTGGCAGCCCTGCTGATGAAGCCGCGCCGGCCAGCACTGACCGCAGGCAGCGAGCGCGCCGCGGCCTCCTGCGCCCCCCAAAATACCACACGGCGCCAAAGGCCACCGCTGACAAGTTGCAGGCAGCTACTTTACACACACAGGTTGCGCCGCATGCTATACAGTACATTTGGCGTCACGCCATGGAGTTGCAGTGCATGGCTACACTGCAGGGCGCCTGCTCAGGCTTAATTTGTCTCCTGCCACGAGCGCCTTTAACTCTTCTTGAGCGGCTTGCACGCCTGCTTGTGGCTGCCCTCCACCCAGTCCTTCCTGGCGCAGGCCTCGCTGCAGTACCTGCAGGCCAGCAGGATTGGTGCGCATGGTTTGTGAGTTGGGCGCTTGAGGCAGGGGCTTGGTTGGTGAAGTCGAAGCCAATTGCGAGTCGCTCTCCCTGCTTAGCTTGCATGCAGCTGGACCTACACACCAGTGATTAGGTACTTGAGCAGGTAGTGGGAAATGCGTGCGTGCGCAGTCACATGTGCCCCCCACACACAAACGCACACGCACGTGCGTGCACAAACACACACACACACACACACACACACACACACACACACACACACGCGCGGCCTGGTTAGGTCGCCGTGCCCGATAGCAGCCATGAGACCATGCATGAATGTGCACGCACGTGCATGCACCAGACACGTACCCACCCACACGCAAGTGCGCGCACGCACCACGCCCCCACACACACAAACACGCACAAACACATACACACACACACACACACACAACACACACACACACGTGCGCGCGCACGTGCAACACACGCACACACACAGGCACACACACGTGGGCACGTACACCATCATGCACTCAGCAAGTACACGGATTCCCACCTGACAGCCCCGCACCCGCGGCAAAGGCGCAGCCTCACGCCCTCCTCCGCCTGCATCCTGCCGCACGTGGCGCACACCGCACTCAGCACCGCCTGGCCCCGCACCTCCCCAGCCGCCGCCTCCGCCGCCGCGCCGCGCAGCCGCCGCAGCACGCGCGCCGCCGCCGCGGTAGCATCCATGCGCGCCCACGCGGCAGGATTTGCCGCCACGGCCGTCAGTGCCGCCTCTAGGCCCTCAACACCAACGATCGACTCTGCAGCTGCTGCGCCGGCAGCAGTCAGGCGGTCGAGGCACTCAACCAAGTCGCCTACTGTCGGCATGATGGCCTCGTCACAGTCCATAGTCAACATCTCGTCAAGCGCGTGGAAACGCACCTGGGAGGGGGCGCTCACTGGTGACATCATCGCGCGCACAATGGCCGCCGCAACCGCGGCCAGCAGGCCAGGCGCGGCGGCGACGGCGGCGAGCCGTTGCGGGCCGGCCGCCTCTGCGGCCTCCGCCAAGGCAGCGGCAACCGCAGCAGCGCCATGGCACATGCTGCCGTCGGGGTTTAACATATGGTGTGCAAGCGCGGGCAAAACGCTGCCCGGCAGGGCGATATCAAGGAACGCCGCCGCGGCCGCCTTGTCCCCCTGGATAAGCTCGACCACCGCCCGCACCACACAGGCCGCGGCGCGCGGTGTGCTGTCGCCGGCGGCGGCCGTGCGTCGCAGCGTGGCCGCAAGGGTGGTGAGGGTGGCGGGACGCGTCTTCATGAGCTCGGCGCGGCCCGGCTCGAGGCGGCTGAGTAATGCAATGCAGCCCGCAGCCGGCTCCAAGCTGTCCGGATGCATCATCAGCCGCAGCAGCGAAGGCACCACGGGCGGCGCAGCAAGCGCCACGAGCGCCGCGGCGGGCCGCGTGCCGTCGGCGCGCAAGAGGGCCTCCAGCAGGACGACGGATGACCTTACACACTCCGGCGACTCAAGCCGCAGGACGCCGCGCGCCGCCGCGTCTGCGATGGCTGGGGTCGCTGCTTCCACGTTTTCGCGCGCAACCTGGGGATCTTCGCCGTCTGCGGGCCCCGTCGGACCAGCCCCCACGCGGCCCAGCTCCTGCAGTAAAGCCGCCAGAAACCCCAAAGCCGCGCCGGCTTTGGGGCCCGCGCCGCCGCCCGCCACCCGCGCGGCCGCGTGTAGCAGCCCGGGCTCGCGCGCGGCGCGCACGGCGACTCGCAGGCCGCCACTGTCGAGCAGCTGGTGGAGGGGGGTGAGGCTGTCGCACCCGTCGTAACGCGCAGCGGCCTCGCAGAGCGCATCCAGGAAGCGCGGCACCTGGAGCGCGGCGGCGCACACCTCTTTGCAGGTCATCAGCCTGTTCAAATCCATCAAGACGCATTTGACAATAAGTAATTTGTCTGGCCAGCTGTGCAGGCATTCGGCCAGGGCTTGTAGCATGCCAGGGGTGTGGCCGATCTGTGGCGAGTGTTCAGGTGCGGGTGCGGGGTGCGGTGGGAGGGTGGTTGGGGCGGTTGCCATGCCAGGCGGTGGGTGCCGGGAGGCGCCGCAGCGTGCTGTAATCCCGTTGCATTTTGCCTTCACTATGCCAAACCAAAGGGAGGGCGCTGCGAGTGCCTCGCACCTGCTGCCGCCGGTGGCCGGCCTGATCTGCGTGAGCCTGCTGATCCTTGAACCCTTCCAGCAGCCCCCTCACGGCCGTCGCCGCAATGAAGCACCGGTGCTGCCGCGCGCGCCTGTCGCCGCCGGGCACGCAGCCTTCGGCGAGAGCGCGCTGCAGCGCCGTGAGCGGCGGCGGCGGCAGCAGGGTGTTGGGGGCGGCAAGCGAGGCTGCTTGCAGCTTGTATACGGCTACTGTCATGGCATCCAGTGCGGCGGCATCCCGAGCGCTGGGAAGGTGCGTCTCAAAGCAGTCCAAATCGACGACGCGCTGCAGGGCGATCTCGAGGCAAGCCTGTGCGGCGGTGGCCATACTGGCTGGCGCAGGTACACGGTGGTGCTCCTGCACGCCCGGGGTGCAGGTGGCATAATGATGTTATTGGTGGGTCGGGCCAGGTGCCCATGCAGACCCAGTGCAGACCGCACCATGCGCCACCGCGCCGCTTGGATGTGCACAACAGAGCGGGTTGGTGGTGAAGCTCGCGGTGCACTCCTGTATGCGATGAAGCCCCACGTGGTCAGCTTTGACTTGCCTCCGAAGGGCTCTGATACCATCCGCTCGCGTCTTGAGATCACGTTGCTTCTCGCGCCTGAAAGTTAATTGTAAGGCACTGAATGTACCGTACGTTGATCATACACACACGCTTGGAACATTAAAGATGACAACACTAATCTCACGAGTCCCTGCAGGCCCTCCTAGCACACGTGTCACGGACGCGTGTGCTGACACTGACAACTGCCTCATCCTCCTGCTGCTGCTGCCGCAAACCTGCCATACAGCAAACCTTGGTGTCCTCGACTGGTCACCGTGCGCGTCTTACCAAGCTCGAGCGGCACGCTGTGTTGATCAGCGACGGCGAGCACGGCAGGAGGGGCGACGAGAGAGGCCTTTGGCCTGCGTGCAGCAAGTTGCCCCTACGGCTGGCTTGTAGGCGGGTCCCCCATTCACCAGTCCCTAAGCCACAAGTCCGCTTTACTGCGGGCTTGGCAGTGATTTGGCAGGGATATCTGGTGCGATCTCTGCAGGTCAGCAGGTGGTTGGGTGATGGCCGGGGCGGCGGGTGCCCGGGCAGCCTGCGGGTCGCAGCAGGCACGGTTACATTACATGTGCAGCCCTGATCGCAGCAGGCATTGTTGCATACGCAGCTGGGCGCGCTGCTGGCACGAGGCTAGATGCTACTGCCATCGTCGGCACTCAGCCCAAGCGCATGGCTTTGCAGCACGCATGTGCTGTAGGCGACCTGTTCATGCTGCAGGTCAAGGTTACCGTGCGGCTGATCAAGGTGACACCCAACAGCCCATTCCATAACAAAAATCTGCAATACTCTTGAGTACGAAGTGTGCGTGCATGCGTGCGCATGCGTGTGTGTGTGTGTGTGTGTGTGTGTGTGTGTGTTTGTATGTGTGTTTGTATGTGTGGGTGTATGGGTGTGTGTATGCGTGCGTGTGTGTGTATGTGTGTGTGGGGGGGGGGGGCAGGTGTTGCTGCTTGCTCAACCAGCATGCCCGGCTACACCTCTCGCAACAGCTATGCGACGTTGCTGCTTTGCCACTTGGGGCCGCGGCGTCTGGGCCAGGGGCGGCGGTGCAGGTGTCAGCGCTGGTCCGGGTTCAACCAAAAAAAGGATCAGGAGTGTTACAGCGCACTGCGGCCGCTAGGATCATGGGATTGGACTTTAACGCATCAGAGTCGTGTGGCTGGGATCCAACAATTTGGGGTGCTACAGTGCGCCGTTCAAAGCCCTTGGGCTGCACGCTAGCAATGGCATTGTGTGGCACACCCTCGCCAGTTGAGAGCACCAGCACTGAGGCAAACCGTGCGCACGGCCGATGTTTCTGATGCTGCTAGAAGCACTGATTTGTGACACTTACATCACACTCGCAATGCATTAGAGGTGCCTTGGACAGTCGCCTGCCGCATGGCTCGAAATTGACCACTGCTGGCATTCCTGAATCACCCCCCTACCGCCCATCAAGCAGCTCGTCATCCATGTATTGCTTTATTTACATGGACATTCCTTTTTGCCACTACAAGATTCATCCATTGCCGCCCATCCAGCCGTGAGCCCCACAAGTCATTTTGACACCATGACTGAACAGCCGCCAAGTATCGTACGGAGCCGGACAGCTCACCGCACCGACATGAACGCATTTGCAGGCTGCGGCTCAGCAGATCCATGTAATTAGAAGTCTTGATGTGCAAAAGACTTTTCATACTGCATCTCCGTCGCAGCCCTTGCTGATCCGACACCTGGCTACGGTTCTCTGGTCGCAAGGCTCAGTTAGGGCTGTTTATACAGTCGGTTTTAGAGTTTAAAAGGTATACCAACGCTCAGTCGAGGCAGATTCGCCTGCACCAGATGCCCAAGATCACTTCGAGGGCCCCAGGCCTGCAGCCGCGCTTGGTGTAGCGTGTTTCGATTCTGATCGCCCTCAGTGAAACCTCTGTCAGACCTAGGAGAGACTGCAGCCATGTCAGGCGGAGCAGTGGCGCCGGCGCGCGTGCGCATCAAGGGACACAAGGCCAGCGTTGTCCGCTTTTTCTTCCTGGCGGTGCGTCCTGCGCATCAGTTGTAATTTTAGCGTTTTGCAGCCCGTTCTGCCACCCGCCAGCGGCGGCATGTGACCTTGCGTGCGCTCACCGGGACACGCGTGCGTCTCGAGTGACGGCGGCCCCATGTGGCAGGAAGGTGACAGCAGGCGTGCTGCACCGCTCGCGCCGCAGGTGGCGCACGCAATCCCCTGGATCGTGCTGCTGTCTCAGATGGCCTACTACAGCAAGCTCTATGGCCCGCAGGCGCGCGGGCACGTCGCAAGGGCCGCCCTGACGCGCAGCAAAGCGGCGCGAGCGCCCTTCAGCAGGCCAACTGCCGTGCCGAGCTGCCGCGTCCCTTCGCCTGCGCTTGCGCGCTTGCATTGCGTACGCACACAGCAGCAGCAGGCGCGTACATATGCATAACACACAGTCCCACACGTGCGCGCTCGTGCTTGCACG